AGATTATAAGAGACCTACACTGAAGAAGGACACTCAGAGGCGAGCGGAAGCAATTCGTGCATTGCCGAAGAAACAGAGATCTTGCAAATTTTTGCTCTCGAATTCCAACCTTTTCCAGGCCGACTTGATTCAAACCAGGGTGCCGGGCCCTTCCACCGTCGTAGGGTCTACATTGGTTCCGACCAGTTCAGGTCTGTTTTGATTGGTCTATTGAGGTGATATTTGTTAGAGTTGAGTACTGACATACTTTTTTATTTACGGCTTACAATTCTGAAATGTTGGGATACAAGGTGGTGAAAGCTACGGCTGCAGCGAAGGCCAAGAAGAGGAACGTCCCAGAACAGGATGAAAGTCATTTTGAGGAAGTGGAGGACGAGGTCCCCTTGAAGAGGAACCGTACTGGTACGCCGGCCTCACCAAGGGTCCCTGAAGCTGATCCTGCGTTGAGCTCTTTTCCTTTGGTGGCCATCACTTTGCTATCTCTAGCTCATACTTCGCCACCTCTTGCGGCACCTACTTTCGCTTCGACTAGCTCGGCAAGGGTGCAAGAGAGGTGCCGGGACTTACAGAGGCCATCACTGGACAGTCTGCTAGGCCACCGTCCAAAGATCTTCTTGGATTACTTGCGAGCTCCATCTCCATTGAGGGAGGTTACTATTGCACTTCCCCCACATCTGCGCGATTCTGCAAACCTGCTTACCAAGAGTTAGGGTGAAATGGAGCAGGGCTTCCTTAATGAGATGGCCATAGGCGAGGCCCTAACAACTGCTCAACTCCATAGCCATTGCTGTATCCTGTACATGACGACCGTAGCTGATAAGGTATTTTTCTTACTTCATTTTATTTGATGATTTACATATTTGCAAGGTGCTTAACTTATGGATTTTAATGTAGGTGAAATCTGAGCTTGACAAACTGATGGAGGCCAAGGATCAGGCCTTAAATTTGTATAACAGCATGGAGGCTGAGAGAGCTCAGTTTGCAATAAAAGAAAAATAATTCGATGAGAAGCTTAACACGATGGGGTTTGAGCTGAACTCGGGGCTGGAGATGGAGGAGAAGTGGATGGGAGAGATTAGATCTTTGAGGGAGGAGGCCAGTCGTAGCGTTGAGGCTGAGAAGAAGAGGATTGAGGAAGAGAGAGTTCGGACTGTGGAGAAGGCACGAGAGGTAAATAAGAGGGCAAGAGAGGCGATGTGTAGAGCTGAGGAGGCTGAATCTAGGGTTGCGAGGGCAGTGGAGACTTCGAGGCCGTCCTCCGAGTTTGACGCTCTTGCTCAGGATGCTTACGTCGTAGCTCTGGAAGAAGTGAGAGGCCAGGGTTCGACGTGGGTTTCCTTGAGGAGGCTGTGGAAGAGCAGAAAGAAGAGCTTCAGCGTTTGTCGGAAGCGGCAGGGGTTCGAATTTCTCCTGCTGATGAAGATGAGGTCGCTCCTCGCAAAGACCTCCCTCCTCCTATCTCTTCTTAGGACATTTTTTGGATTTGTGATGAATTTGTTAAACTTTATGGATATCTTGTTTGTGCTCGAAGATTAGCCGTACTCTATTTTGAATGCTTATGAAAATGCATGTTTTTTTTTTTTTTTGTGGGGTCTAAATTTTATTGCTTATTTCATCATTTCATGAATTTTTAATAATGGAATGTCTTCTAGTCCAGCGTATGTGACAGAACTCATAAGTCATGCGAACCTAGATCTGCCTGCACATGCTGCTGGGTTTCATAGAATTTTCAAATAGGAATTTCCGCTAAGGGTCGTAGCATTTACGACCTTAGATCGGTCTGTGTATGTAGCAGGGCTTTGTAAGATTCTTTAGGAGGAATGTCCACTAAGGGTAACACGTACAACCTTAGATTCGCCTGCGTATGTAGCAGGACTTTGTAAGGGTAATACGTACAGCCTTATATCGGTCTGCGTATGTAGCAGGGTTTTGTAAGATTCCTTAGGAGGAATATCCACTAAGGGTCGCAGCACTTACGCCCTTAGATCGGCCTGCGTATGGAGCAGGGCTTTGTAAGATTCCTTAGTACTCTGAAGAAGATGTTCAAAAATAGGAAGTCTCTTTTCATTGGTGTGATTGACATTACAAGTGGGCTTTATATGTCACGCACTTTTCCCATTCATTGATAATACTGCTTGAGGTGTTCGGCATTCCAAGGATGGGGTAAGGGTCTACCCTCCAAGTCTTCCAGCTCATATCCCCCTTTTAGCAGGACCTTCGTTATCAGATAGGGGCCTCCCAATTCGGGCCCAGACATTTACTGCCTACCTCTCTTGTGGGGAGGAATACTTTCCGTAATACAAGGGATCCAACTTTGAATTCTCTTTTTTGGACTTTTTGATTGTAGTACTTGACGTTCCGCTGCTTGTAAACGGCATTTTTAAGTTCAGCATTGTTCCTTTTCTCCTCGGTTAGGTCGAGTTCCGTACGAAGAGCCATGTGGTTCCTTTCTTCGTCGTAATCAATTATGCACAGCGAGGGAATGTTGACTTCTAGTGGGATTACAGCCTCTACACCGAAAGCCAGTGAGAACGGTGTTTCTCTCGTGCTAGTCTTTGCAGTGACGCGATAAGACCATATCACATTGGGGAGTTCTTCGGCCCATCCTCCTTTAAACAAGTTGAGTTTTGCTTTCAATGTATGCTTAATAATTTTGTTAATGGCTTCGACTTGGCCGTTTGCATGCGGATGGTTCGACGTTGAGAAATATTTCTTGATGCCAAACTCTTCACAGAAATCTGAAAGTCGTGAGTTGTCGAATTGTTTTCCATTGTCTGTAACAATGGAGTGAGGTATGCCGAACCTGCAGATGATTGATTTTCACAAAAAAGTCGATTGTTTTCTGTTCCGTGATCTTGGCAAGTGGCTCTGCCTCGACCCATTTGGTAAAGTAATCAACTGCGACGATGGTGAATTTTACACCTCCTTTTCCAACCGGCATAGGTCTAATTAGGTCGACACCCCATTTTGCAAAGGGCCAAGGTGCTGTTACTGGGTTCAACTTGCACGGTGGAGCGTTTATGATGGGGGAGGCGCTGGCATTTGTCGCATCTTTTGACAATTTCAAGAAAATCACGTCTTATTGCAGGCCAAAAGTATCCTTGTTGTATGATCTTGTTGGCTAGTGAGAGCCCACCTGAATGGTTTCCATATATTCCTTCGTAAATGTCTTGCAGGGCATGCTGAGCTTCTTCTTCATTTAAACACCTTAACAAAGGTGTAGAATATCCCCGTTTGTATAGTACATCGTCAATGAGTGTACACCCGACCGACCTGATTCGAAGCTTTCTAGCCTCTGCAAAATTTTCGGGACATTTCCCGATTTTTAGGTAGGTGACGATCTCATCCTGCCAGGTTGGTTTGGGGTCTATTCCTCTCATGCCCCCGTGATTCCAGGCGAAGACATCAAGGTTTTGTCTAAGAAAGGCCACAATTTCGTTTCAGGTGGATGGCTGCAACTCGCGCCCGACTTTGAGCCCCTTTGTTGGGTCCTTGACACAGATTTGAACTCCTTCTAGTTCTTCGACGGTTCTCCTCCTTCGATCCTGGTCCGCGGGTTTAGTGGGATGAGCTCGGATTCCCATACGTTTGCCTTATACACTCCCGGGGAGTTGCGTTGGTGGCTGGTACAGGTTTTCCTCATGGCGTTCGTTTGAGGGTCCCGCCGTCGTGGAGAACTTGGTGGTGTATTCGTTTTATGAGGGTAGGTGTGAAATGGATTTCTGGAACTTGAGCTACGACTCATGGCTCTCAGATTTTGTGGAGAGAATGAGACTATTTTTCACAATTAGAGCCCTCTTTCTAGCGCCAAACTGTTGACGTCAAAATTAACAAGGCTAATCTTAAGCTAACTTTAAGAAAAAAGGGCGATTTATTGTTGAAAAAAGACCATAAAATATGTTTAGAGAGTGTAATTATGCATTGAGTTGTTGTATGAAATCACTTGCCCTTTACAAGAGTCCTATTCGATTATTTATACATAGTTTCAGCCTACATTACATCAAATCAGTCAAATCAGCAACAGTACCGAGCTCGGAACTCGGGTCGCTGAATTCTCTTGTGATTGGTCGATGAGGCCGGTGGCCATGTATCAATGTTTTCCCCAGGTAATGATGGGGCTGGAGGTTGAGGACTTAGGATTGGTTGTTCCGGGCGGTGATGATGTCACCTGTGGCAAGTGTATTTGATTGATAGGGTGATGTGACAGGGGGTAATCATGATATTTTTCTGAGATAACGACGAGATTGTCCGACTTGGGAGAAAGGACCGAACTCACATTTAACTGAGGTGGGGTTAGCGAACTGTTTTATTATATCGAAGTTCGGATGTCAACATATGATATTTTATGCTTCAAAATTTTGAATTTCTGAGCAGTTCGATTCAGCGAGTAAAGGTCCATGATCATTCGAAAGTATTTTAAAGTAAAAGTTCAGTACTTAATGAAATATAATGAGTGAGCAATGAAGTGTAACATATTAAATTTTTTTGATCCCTCGAAATTATTTTGAAATTTAATAACTAATGAATTATGATAAATGAGCGATGAAGTTCAATACATTAAAGTTCATTGTTCATTCAAAAGCATTTTAAAATTTAGTGATTAATTCGTAATGGAGTTATAAATTGAGCCCCTGTTTGATCCCCATTATATTAAATTCTATTATATTTCATTTTTCTCTCTCCTATTTTCAATCACACAATCTTTCATAAAATAATATTATACGTAAATCGAAAACTTTTCATTCTTTTTCAACCAATCATTTTTCAAAAAAGCACTATTCCCCTCATTAATTTTCCTACGTAATGGAAATCAAACAGGGGCTGAGTGTGTAATGAAAAATTAACTCCAATTTCAATATTCTTTCATTTATTATTATTATTATTTTTCCTTTCACAGAGAGAAGAAGAAATACGCATCCTCGGTCTATTTTATTTTTTATTATTCGTTCAGAATATAGTAATATAGGGAAGGTAAGAAGGGAGAAGGAAACCCAATACACTTGGGACTTTGAAGAAACAAATATAAATTTAAGAGGGGAAAAAAAAATTTGCTCTTCGCTTTACACGCAATCACTATCAAACCCTTTCGTTTTTCTTATCAAGTTATTCCTTAAAGAAAAACTTCAGTCCTGCCGTCTGCAATCTGGTCGTGTTTTAAAATTCTTAACTCTATATAATTTTCATTTTTTAAAATTTATTTATTCTTTAATTTATAGCGGTGAGTTTTGGCTTCCGGCGGACCTGGATTTTTTGTGGGTTGCAGGTAAAAATTTCTCTTCTTGGGCCTTTATTTACTTATTTTATCTGGGAATCTGGGATTCCAAACAATCAGAACTAGATATTTTCTTACGTTTTTTTCCCTTATGCCTAATGGTTATTTTTCTTGGAATTTTGCAAGTTTTTGACTTGTGTGATGTTAAATGAGCAAAATCTTTTTTAGCTGGTTTTTTCTGTGCTCAGTATGCGATTATTGAGTTTTTTTCTCTATTCAGCTACTATCCGATCAACTGAAGTTACTATCCGATCAACTGAAGTTACAATCTCGAGTTTTGGATTACTTGCAGCTAAATAATAAATCCTTACTTCAAACCTTTATCAGTAAATTATATACCCTTGACATTCCTGTTTTAGAAAGAGAGAAAAAAAAAATTGAACTGTGGATGACTTTACTATGCTGAAAAGGTCATTTTCTTACGGTTCCTTGTATCTGCATATGATTTTCACATTTATTGATGTTAATGGCTGCCAATTCTAGCCCCCATTCACTTTGGAGCTTTTGCGCTTCAAAATGATAAATAACAGCTGTTTGACGTTACTCTTTCAAAACTTAAATTGCTGTCTGCATATTTTGTCGCATTATGTAGTACAAATTTACATTGTATAATTTATATACATTTGGTGTCTTGAATGCCTTCTCTTGTGATGTGGTTCTCAATGCCAACTTGCATAGGCACATACAAAGAGTTATTAAATTACTAGGTGCTGAAGCTATTAATTTGATTAGAAAAACACCTGGAAACAATATTTATGAACTTCTAATTTATATATTTTACTTAAATTTTGATGATGAAATCAATTTAATTCTTGCCTGTCACTTTGATTTTTTGTTAACACTCAGAATAATTGTCCAATTCTGCTACATTAAGCTTTTTATACAGTTTCCTTTTTTTTTTTTTTTTTTTTTCTTTCATCGTAGTTTAATATTTTCATTAAAGTTTCTGGGTAGAAAAGAGTTCTATTACATCTCCTAAATTGTCTAAATTCTTTTTTTTTTTTTTTTTTTTTTTTTTTTTTTTTGTTACTATCATCGTAGTTTAATATATTCATTAAAGTTTCTGGGTAGAAAAGAGTTCTATTACATCTCCTAAATTGTCTAAATTCAATCTGCATTTAATATTATAGTGCTGATCTGATTATATGATGTTTGGAGCATGAGTATTGTTTATAGTTAGGGTGTGTGCATGTTTTATTAACTAAAGAGCTGTATATGTATAGTATATCCTCTATAAATAATAAGGTCGGGATTGAGAAATTATATTATATAATAGGGGTCATTAATTTATCCCATTAGTTCAAATTGGAGCCAGGAAATTTTACTGATTTATGAGAGTTGTACTGTATATTATCATATGTTGGGATTGAACTTATGGTGGAGTGATCAGCCAAGTTGAACAGGATGGATCGTTACTTTGTGCTATGTTTCCTGGATAACATGTACTATATCAGACGAACAGGCCTAAAACAAGTAAATAAACAATCAAATTGGGAAGTCATTTTAGTGATCATTTTCTGTAATGTTTCAATGAGGTTGTTAGTTTTTACAAATAATGAAATTTAGCAGTGGTCTCTTTATACGAAAGTTCTGCTACAAATTCCTCATAGATAGTTTGGTCGGCGAACTATGCATTTCTATTTTCAAATTGAAAAGACTGACTGAGATGCAATGTTCAGATGTGAGAGCCTACGTGAGGGCGTAAAACAGAGCATGTTTAACCTGGCTTGAATATGCATTGGAACTACAGCAATCCAGCTGTGTGGCTATTCATATATGTGTCCATTTTGAGGTCATTGTACAACTTAGTAAATTTTCTTAGGAAAGAACATACAAAAAAGTTTAACACATATGAAGAGTAAGATGAAGGCCGTAAGGCATCAAACATCCTTACTTTTCAACTGTTGACGGTATGGTGGTAAATCTCATATACAAATGAATCTAAATCTTCACTAAATTAGAATAAATTTGTAACTGAGCAACAGGTTCTAATAGTTTAGTTACTCAAATTAAATTGATAACAACAGTTATCAAGCATCTATTGCTTTACAAAATCAATTTGTTTAAATTTGTACAATGAGATGATTTACTTTAAGAATACGAATGAACAAAAACTTATGAACTAGTGTACTGTGTACCCCCTCCCTCCGCAAAATGAAACTGTTAATTGCTTATTTTTAAGAGTAAAAGAAATAAAAATGTTGTGTGAATTTTTACATAGATATCTTGTCAAGTTTTAGGGTTACATTGATTCTATTTTGTTTTTCAGCACAATGTTCTGATTGAAGTAGTCGAGGAATGGACTGGCTGATTTTGCCTTCTGTAAGCGTGTATGAGTGATGTTCAGCGGGCAAATAAGTGCTAACTCTCTTAACATATTCAAATGGAATTGGCACAGTACATCATCTCTAAAGACAGGGTTGCTTAAAGATGTACCTCAAGAAATTGAATTGTCTGACTATCATAAGCCGCCAAGCCCCCATAGTGAAAGTCCATCTGGGCTTCTTGACTGTGAGACTTCAAATGTAGAACCCATTGACGATCTGGATCTGTTTATTGAGAGGATTTACACCTACTACTGTGAGAAAGGGCTTTGGTGCATTATTTTCAAGTGGATTTTCGAGCTTCTAAGCCTTCTTTTCATCATATGTTTCTCTGGATTTTTCTTGTTATTTGTTGATTGGAATGGCCTTCGCAATGCGAAGTGTGGAATGGATGCAGTGGAATCTGGAATTAAGCCTTGCGATCTTTCCGAGGAAGCTTTGCATAAGCATCCGTTCACTCCTTTTACTCTTTCCAAAGCTATAATTGTAGGATACCTTGGAATATTTTCCATCTACTGGATCTTCTGTTTCTTGAGGTTTTTCACGCAATTAAAGGAGACTCTTAAGATCCGTCAGTTTTTCTACAACAGGTATGTCTTGATCTAATATGGAATTTAACACAAATCTGGCCAAATAACATGTTTGGCTAAGCTTAAAAAAAGTGAACTTAATTTTTTCTGCAAGTGAAGACTGATAGGCTGGTTGGCTAAGCTTTAAAGTTACTCTTAAAGTAATTTTTCAGTTCCAAACGTAAACACTTTGAGTACAACGAGTTACTTATTTTGGAAATAATTCTTACTTTTCCCTTAAAATAAGTAACTTATTCTAATATTAACCAATGAAAAATTATATTTTTCTAGAACTTATTTACTTACTTATCAGTAAACTTGGTACCTTTAAAAAGCTCCATCTTTCTTTCTTTTTTTTCAGCATCTTTATCTTTTCATGGTTATATTTGTTTTGGGGGGAAGAAATGTGGACCATGGATTACACATTGCATTTTTCTTGGTTGTCTTAACAATTTGACATCAGTCTCTGATTGTCTTTTAGGACAATTGGATCTGTTCGTTTTTTGACTTACTAAAAAAAATTGAATGTTTTTGTGCAGTCTCCATGTAACGGATAATGAAATAAAAACTATGCCATGGGCATTGATTCTTGAAAAAGTCATTCAGGTACAAAGTTTGCAACAACTATGTGTGGTCAAGGATCTTTCTATTCATGATGTGGTAATGCGGTTGATGCGGAAGGAGAATTATTTGATTGGAATGGTTAATAAAGGAGTGCTTGCCTTCCCTATTTCTGGGTGGGTTCCAGGTGCTGGTCCAACTTTCAGAGTTGGTCTAAATGGTGTGCAACATCGACTAGTACTAACAAAAACACTTGAATGGACCTTGAATTGGTGCATTTTGCAGAGCATGTTTGACAGGTAGTTATGATCTCCCCCCTTTGCACACACAAGCATCTGTGAAATAAATAATTATCATTAGTCACTTGGGGTGGACGTGGGGAAATGTAAGAGATCCTATGGACAGTCAATTGTTTTTGGCATTTTAAGAACATGAATTTCCAATTAGGTAATGAATCATGTGTTACGACACACAACTGTTCCATGCTAAATATGTTGCGTGAGCTTTTCATACATATAAAAGACATGATACTAGAGATTAATCGCTAAAGATCAGAATAGTTGGAACACTCATTTTGTTTTTCAAGAAAAAGTCTCCTTAATTTCGTCTCCCCCTACATTGTCTTGGCAGATGATGGTGATTATGCATATATTCTTTTGGCATCAAGTTGGACTAGTCTTGTTTGACCATAAAGAAATACGTATGTTTAATTTGGTTGCAGACCATTTTACTTCTGTCTTCTGATCTAAACGTTCGTTAAATCCACAGAAACTTTTGTCTGCGGACGGAGTTCGTCTCGGATCCTAAAACATTAAGGAAAAGGCTTATGATAGTTGGCTTTGCAATGCTGCTTCTGTCTCCTTTTCTTGTCATATTCATGCTGGTATATCTTTTTTTAAGACATGCTGAACAGTTCTATAATCATCCAAGTACAGCGTCACATAGAAGATGGTCAAATCTCTCCAAGTGGATGTTTAGGGAATTCAATGAGGTATGACTCTTAAATTTGTCTGCTTGCTTGGCTCTATTTCTCATTCTTTTTCTTGAGGGGAGGCTGGGGGCTAAGAAACTATTTCGTCCAATTCTTGCAATTTATAATTATTTGTCATTCTGAAAACTACTATTAGTTACTTATGCTGATTGTACTACTTTAAAAACACGTCTGAAGGTTTGCATCCTCTACATGTTTAAATTATTCAAAAGAACTTATTTATTTTATTTTGTTTTGGTGAAGAGTGGTATATCACTTATGGTGTCTCATCTTTCTTACAGGTTGACCATTTGTTCAAGCACCGGATAAATAGCAGTGTAGTGCATGCTTCAGATTATCTAAAGCAATTTCCTTCACCTATACTAACCATTATTGCAAAGTTTATCTCGTTTGTTTCTGGTGGCTTTGCTGCTGTCCTCATAATTATTGCCTTCCTAGAAGAGTCTCTGCTAGAAGGCCATGTAACACTTTTGACTCACACTACTTATATGTATTTGGCAGCATGTCTGTTCTTGTAATTAAGGCATTTTTTTCATCGATCATTTGTTTGAATCTCGCAGATATTTGGTCGCAACTTATTTTGGTATGCTGCTGTTTTTGGAACTATAACTGCTATAAGTCGGGCTGCAATGGTGGATGAGTTGCTTGTCCTGGATCCACTGGGGGCAATGACACGTGTGGTCCAACATACACATTATATGCCAAAAAAATGGCGGGAAAAGGAGAATACTGAGACTGTACGGGCGGAATTTGAAACTCTATTTCAGGTATTCACATGCTATATACCAGACTTCAGTTTCTAAGCTGGTTACCTTGAAATCTGCCCCCGACTCCATTTACAACCAAGGTATTTTGTGCCAATACGACCTAACCTTTAAATTTTGGTAGTCAAATCCTCAATCTTCTATTGGAGCAGATTTAGTCCAAGTAGACAGTTTTGCTCCAAATTGACATTACAAATGCTCATGCATTGCACATGATGTACACTGAATCCCAGCTCCAGGGCCTCCAACACCTCCCCCCCCCCCCCCCCCCCCCCAACCACACACACACATCAACCACTGCCCCTCCCCATTCCAACAGTCGACCTTCATACCCCACCTTCTCCTCCTTTACTTTAATTTTTCACTAAATTTAGCCCCCATTTGGCCTTCATTATTTCAAATTATAATGGGTGGAATAGTATTTTTTGGAGAATGGGTGGTTGAAAAAGAAGGAAAAGTTTACGATTTACGTATAATATTATTTTATAGAAGATTGTGTAGTTAAAACTAAGAGAGAGAAAAATGAAATTTAATTTAATAGGGGCCAAACGGGGGCTTATATGTATTTACTTATTTTATTCCTCAGTAAAGGGAGTGTGTGAGAGACATGCAATTTTAACATGCATTTGGATGAAAACCATCCCCTAGGACTAATTTTGCTACATTAACAAAAAGGCTGAGGATTTGGCGACCCAGATTTAAAGGTTTTGGATGCATTTGAGCAGAATGCATAGGTTGGGGACCTTGCTACAATTTTACCTTTCAAATATTATTAATTAACTGCTTGTTTCATAAAGAGTTTGTTGGAATAATTTGGCAGTTTTCAGTGGCTTCTAGTAGGGCATATTCACAGTCCATCCCTCCCTCCACCCTACCTCTGACCCCTTTCTTCCCCGGGTTTATTAAATATTCTACTGCTGTTGTGATGCCAAGAGGTCCTATGAGTGCAAGAATTTCATTATCAAAAACATAAATGTTTTCGAATCTGCTATTATTTTTTAACATTTGATTGTTATTGTAGATGCCAAAAGGTTGATTTACGGAAACACACAATTCATAATCCAACCTTCTAGCTCTTGTTTATTCTCTCGTGAATGCCAGGAAATAGATATTAAAAAATTCGTAATTCACCCCAGATACAGAGAATTTGGAGTCCTTCACGTGGATTACCAAGAATTTGGACAGATAATTGACAAGACTCACTTTCTTATTGAATTGGTCCTCATCTAAACAGATCTTTATGGTCTTATTGTACACTGCAACCAAATTTCTAGCGTGAGAAGGAAATCTCAAAATTAATATAAATAATCCTAGCGCTAGTGGTAGAAATAAAGCGTAAGTCACCAAAATAAAACCCTAATACTGGAGGAAAATCTAAAAGCTACTATAACCATTCTCAAACTGCAAAATGGCCAAAAACAATCCCTAGTTTCTGTTTATGGGCTGCATTACTTTGAACTACTTTAGGCTAATGTGGATCTATTTCTTGGTGCAGTACAGTGGAATGATGCTGCTGGAGGAGATGGCCTCAATCTTTATCACGCCTTACTTGCTTCTATTCGTTGTCCCAAAGGTTGTGACTTTAAATGTTTTTTTTTTTATCTCACTCTAGTTGTTTCTGAACTAATAAGCTGTTTTGATGTTGCAGCGGGTGGATGACATTTTGCAGTTCATTGTGGATTTTACTACGAACGTTGAAGGTGTAGGCCATGTTTGCTGGTTCGTATAGCACATATCTTCTCCTTTTCCACTTAAAACTATCAGTGAAGTTTAGTATTCAACATTATACCTTACTGGGCTGTATACCAAACAAGATTTTAGGTTATTAAAGTTTTCCTGCACAATAGGTTATGTTTTCCTCTCTATACTGTCCAAATCCAGCAACTTGATGAATTTTTCTCCTCCGGCAGTTTCGGTGTCTTCAATTTTAAAGATCATGGCAACAGCAAATATGGCTCACCATTTAATTCGCCTCGCATTAAGAGAAGCTCCCAGGGGAAAATGGAAAAATCAGCCTTGAGGTATAACCATCTTTAATCATGTCATATGCTTCTATCTTGGTCTTATTTGGGAAAATTTGAGATGGTTCTGATGAACTCAACTACCATGCTTGCAGCTTCCAGATTAGCTATCCTTCGTGGGAACCAGATGCTCAGGGGAAACATTTCCTTGCATCTATCAAAGCGTTTCGAGATCAAAAGTTGCAAGGACAAGGAACAAGAATTGCAGAGTTGGCTTCTAGAATGCAGCAGCAGAGTCCAAATTTTGGAGGGTTTGGTGGCCGAAACTACAACTTTTCGAGGGAAATGCCTTTTGGTAATGCTGTAACTGATTCGATGTGGCTGATAGATGTTGAAGAGAAGAATTTTCCATATATTCTCGACTGGTATTATACCTCACGAAATCACGATAGAGCTGGTTATACAAGAGACATTTCATTTAACACTTTTGCCGATGTCGAGGAGAACCCTAATGATTTCCGGAATGCTTCCCACTCATCAAAAAACGAAGCAAAATATTGTGGCAACTGGAGATATCTTGATGTCGATCGAGTTCAGAGTCATCTTGAGGCTTCTACATCTTCTCCTCTCTTTCAGCAAAGTGTCTTGCAACATCACAACACAAGTAATGCAGAACACCGCCCTACAGGGAGCCATTGGTGGGCTAGAAGTCAACCACAAGGTGCGGATCCGCAGACAAGTTTTCTTGATCCTCCAAATTTCTTCCACAATGCTCCGCATTATAATTACGATAATTTCTCAGAGCAGAGTGTGGAGGATCAAGAAGACTCGGAATGGAGGAATCGTAAGAGGCTTTCTCAATCTTTCTTTATAGACAACTTAGATGGTGGCGAATTCAGTCTTCCATTCGATGATATATATGAAAGCAGGCCTTTAGAGAGGCCTACTGAGAGTGCTGATCCTTCAAATCTTGTGTGATTCTGCAGGAATGCATCTCTAAATTCTTTGTTGTATATATCTTGTATATAATTAAATATTGAATAGGCTTCAGGTTGATAATGATTTGGAGGGGGAAGTGGATGCTACTAAAGTCTGTTTAAGTTGAAAACACTGATGTAAACAATGTCTTTTCAAACCATTCCTCGTATTTACATAGTACTCACTTGATTTTATTGTGGCTATCAGTAAGTCTTTCACAACAATGCTTCAATCAGACATGGAAGTTTTGTGTTTGTTTATTTATTTTGATGCACGTAAAAAGTGAATCAATCATGTTACATGTATATCATATTTGACATCATTGTTTACATTGTGCTAGTGACAATATATCATTCATCAATTTATATATTTTTTTATTAAATTACTTTTCCGTCCACAGTTTTTTGACAACACAGTGGATGTCAAAAAAGATATAAACCATGGAATGTACATTTAACATTATTCAAAGTGAATAACTAGCACAAGTATTTTATTAGTATATTTTGAAAAAAAGGCCATTTATCAGATTATGTGATTCAGTCTCACTAGTGCTTGGTGGCATCTGTTTATGTGGCCGTGGGGTTGAAAAATAGGGTATAAAGGGCATAATGCTGGGAGCCAACCTTCAATTTTCCTAACTTTTGTACAGTGAGAGATCGGAAAATTGAAAAATCTAGTTTGAAGGGTTTAGGGTTCAAGGGTTCGACAAACCGAAACCCCCAATAGAGTGCACTGTCAATAACCATCAAATTCCATACAAATCCATTACCATGAGAAGAGCTTCATCGAGACTCCTCTGTCACCTCCGCCAACCATCCACCAAAACCTCTTCTTATATCCTTTTCAGAGACTCCACCACCCACTATTCTTGCCTCGCCCCCTCGGCCACCACCAATGATCAGTCATCGAACCACGAGTCACATACTCTGAATTCTTGTCCAAAGACTCAATCTTTACTCTTTTCTAGCCCCAAAACCTATAAATTTCAGACGGCCTCGTCTCAGAATCTGAACACCCTTGTTGACCCAAATGGCCAAAATGTCTCTCTTTTATCCTCAAGACAGAGGAAAATTAAAGAAAGATCACAAATTGAGGAGGATTTTGAGTCGGCCGAGTCGGCGGATGACATGCTTGAAGCATTCAAAGACATGGAGGCTTTCCTTTGATGAGAGAAAGCTGGGCTTGGCGTGCTTGAAAATGGGCCTCAAACTTGACTAAGAAGGTGAGGACCCTGAAAAGGCTGTGTCTTTTGCTCAAAGGGCTTTGAAAATTATGGATGATAATCACAATAATAGTAATAAGTCATCTTTGCCTCTTGCCATTACTTTGCAATTGTTGGGTTCTGCTTCTTATAATCTAAACAGGTTTAGTGATAGTTTGGGGTATTTGAATAGGGCTAATAGAGTATTATGTAAGTTAGAGGAGGAGGGTTCCTGTAGTGCTAACGATATCAGACCTGTTTTACATGCCGTTCAGTTTGAATTGTATAATACTAAGACGGCAATGGGTAGGAGAGAGGAGGCTATTGGTAATCTTAGGAAGTCTTTTGAGATTAAAGAAATGATTTTGGAATAAGATAGTAGAGAACGTGGGAAGGCTAATAGGGATGTAGCAGAGGCATATGCCGCTGTTCTGAATTTTAAGGAGGCGCTTCCATTTTGTTTGAAGGCAATAGAAATCCATAAAACTCGGTTGGGGCATAACTCGGTGGAAGTTGCCCATGATAGGAGGCTTCTTGGAGTTATTTATACTGGATTAGAAGAGCATGAGAAGGCGTTGGAGCAAAATCAATTATCACAGAGGATCTTGAAGAACTGGGGTCATAGTTCAGATTTGCTTCATGCAGAGATTGATGCAGCCAATATGCAAATTGCCCTGGGGAGGTATGACGAGGCTATCAATACTTTGAAGGGCGTTGTTCAGCAGACTGACAAGGAGAGTGAGGATCGAGCTATGGTCTTTACTTCCATGGCCAAAGCTTTGTGTAATCAGGAGAAGTTTGCAGACTCAAAGAGGTGTCTCGAGATTGCCTGTGGAATTCTCGACAAGAAAGAAAGCTCTTCTCTCAATGTTGCTGAGGCATTTATGGAAATTTCTATGCAGTATGAGACTATGAATGAATTTGAAACTGCAATCTCCTTGTTAAAGAGAACAGTGGCAATGCTTGAGAAACTGCCTCAAGAGCAACATTCAGTGGGAAGTGTTTCTGCAAGAATTGGTTGGTTGCTTCTGTTGACAGGGAAGGTGGAAGAGGCAATTCCTTACTTGGAAGATGCTGCAGAAAGATTAAAAGAGAGTTTTGGTTCCAAGCATTTTGGAGTGGGTTATGTTTATAATAACTTGGGAGCAGCTTTTTTAGAATTAGAAAGACCACAATCAGCTGCCCAGGTTTTTGCATATGCGAAAGATATCATGGATGTGTCTTTAGGTCCTCATCATGCGGATTCAATAGAAGCGTGTCAGAACCTTTCAAAAGCATATGGTGCCATGGGAAGGTAAAAATTGAAAAACAATCGCCTTTTCATTTCTGGTTATAGTTTAACTCTCCCCTAATGCTTACAAATTCCTGGTGTAGTACTAGATGGACGTTTTCATTTTTTGTGAATACTAAGTTCCCACCACGTGTTGTCACAAATAACTTTATTGAGTTTATGAAATATTTCTAGAGCATCATGCTATACTTTCAAACACACCTTTTGGTTCATATATTGTGCATGTAGTATTATGATGATATTCATTGTTAAACTCTCTTTGACACTTGATGGTTAATCATTCTCAAGATATATAGGCATCACCATGTACAGCATTAAGAATGGGATGGAGTTTTTTCCCTTTATTCTTACGGGCTGTGTGTGTGGGGTTGGGGGGGTTTGGAGCTTTCAGAGCTTCTGCTACTCTGCTGAGAGTTGAGGCTTGAAACTTTGTTTTAGGGAAGGAGACAATGAAACAAAAATGAATGTGATATTTTACTCGTGCATGTATATTGGAACAATAATAGTTTTATTCACATGTTGGATTATGCTATGCACATATAGGTGCTCCAGCTTACTCCTATTGAATATTGATTTAGACTTATTATTGTTGATCAAGTGAATGTGCACACAACAATGCATACATATGGATATGGTTGTCAATGGATATGTGAACACTAGATTGAACTTTGCAGTCACGATACTCTCTACTTATCCTACTGAAATTCACAAGCTCCATCATAAAGTAGTACCAGCCAAAATGTTATTGTTGTTTTCTCACTTGCTGATTTTCTGTTGGATATGTTCAAGATGCGTGCTTTATGAAAATATATATATGTAAACCAATGTGAAATGGTCCTTATAAATAATTTGTTTCTTTTAATGAAGTTCATTCATCCACTGTGTAAGTAACCATAAGTTTCTGAAGAGTGTTTCATTGATTATTTTAGTTATCCCAATCTAAAGACTGTTTCTGACCTATCATCTTTCTGTATCAAGAGTCCTTTCTAGAAAACAACACAATGGTTTACCTATAAAATCTTAAAAAACTGCACTATCAAATAACTGAATTGAAGTCCTTTTTCCTATGCATGCTTGAAGTTTCCTGTAGTGCTCATTTCTCATGGAATAATACATGTCCAACGTTGATTATGTTTCGCTCTATTCAAGGGGACAAATAATGCCAGCTTGAGCAATTTCAACCTTTGGGGTTGAAAAATAGGTGTTAAACGGCTATGGTAAAATTATGTGGAGTAGTGTACACTTCCTATAGGATCAGCACTCATTTTAAAAATCGTTGATTATTCTCTCTTTTGAGCTATTGACTTGCCAAATTTATGTGGAAATCATACGTATTTCTTTTCTGCTAGCTTATTCAGGAAGGAGGGGGAAATCTGCCCGTGCTCATGACTTTGACTTGAAAATAGATGCAACATTTTGATTTTATGCTTAAAACATTCATTCCAATGCTCCTTTAGAAAATTGTTTGAACGAATCCTCAGATTTGTTATAGATAGCCAAGACCTTCATTAACGGCTGAAATCTCATAAGATATGGATAAATTGATGAATGGGTTTGTCCACATGTTCCTTTAAAGCTCCACTAAATAAAATAAAAAATAAAACGGTAGATTACTATTCTATCAATTGATTAAAGATTATCTTGATATCATGTATTTTTGGTTGCTATTGTTGTACATTTGCTCTTTGTCGGGTGGAAAATATTTTATATAACATCTTTTTTCCTTCCTTAATTGAACAGCTATCCACTTGCCATTAACTTCTAGGAGCAGGTAGTTGAAGCATGGGAGGGCCACGGGCCAAGTGCTCAAGATGAACTCAAAGAAGCTACTCGAGTTCTTGAACAATTAAAGTCAAAAGCTCGTGGTTCATCCTTCGAGTCTCTTACGAAGGCCTTGCCTTTGCCCCTTGGCAGTGAAGGTTGTTAGAAGTGTGACTCAAATAGGAGTCTAAATTGCAATAGATTTTCTACCTTTTTTGGGACCCTTTTAGGGCTAGATTTTATACTATAAATACAAGGCTCCTCTGTCAATTTTATTGAAACATTTTGCTGTATTGTACTCTCCTTTCATAGTGAATTAATAAAATATCGTTTCTTCTGCGAGTTTTTCTTTTACTTACTTTAATCTTGTTCTTGGGTTATTTGTGATCTTGTTCAATACTTCAATTACAACAAGTGGAATTCATTAAATCTCAATTCCTGTATTATTGGTCAATCGGTCCCAACAAGTGGTATCAGAGCGGGATTATTGGTGGATTTTTGGCCTGAAACTGATCGAAAAATTGTCTGAAAATTACCAGAAAATCAGAAAACGAATCTGTCTAATTTTTCGATTTTCTGCCGGATCTGTTTTTGCGTTTTCTGGTCAAACCAAAAAGAGTTTGGAGAAACGAATACCACCAGTGGACTCAACAGGCAGACACGGTCCAGAAAGGGTCACAGGTTGTCGGCGCGTTTTCCGACCAGTCGTCGGCAGTGGAACTCCGGCGAGGAGAGTAGCGGCGCGTGCGATGGTTTTCGACGACGGTGTCTTCAGGTAGTTTTCTCCGGATGACGAGACGGACCTTGTGGTGGTGTCCAATTTCAGTTTTGGACAAAATTGTGGTTCTGGACTATTTTGCCCCTTGCACGTTCGGTAGTTTTCAGTTTTTGGTGTTGCAGGTTACAAGTTCTTCCTGATTTGATTGAGATTTTTCAGAGAT